CGAGTGCGCCCAATCCAGGTCACACCATGTTGACGCATCGTCGGGAGCATCTTTGCGATCACTTTGCGATCACGTTGTCCAAGAACCAACCCACAAAGCTTTTCAATGTAAATGGCCAAAACTCGAGCGTTTTTGCGTTTTGACGACCTTTCATGCAATTGCCGAGCGCTTCCTTGACTTTCCCCTCGCTCCAACCCTCAATCTTGCCACCGGGCATGTGCACCTGTTCGTCGGTCCATTCCATGAACTGATTTCTGTTATTCGCCCTAGGACCGAACTCGCGAATAGAACAATATCCTTCCTCACGAGCTTGTTGATCAACTGTGAGTTTCTTTTCGAACTTCGGCTTCACCAACCAATGACGTAGCTGTTTTCCTCCTAAGCGGTCCATCATGTAGTTTAGACCTGACAAAGCGAGTCTCGTTTGACTGCCCCAGTCAAAACGAAGTGGATTACCACGACACGTCGCAATGGCATCCTTAGCATTGATTTTGTTCTTGTGGAGATACACGTGCTTGAAGATGTGGACGTATGCTCCGTTGGCGTCTCCTTCAGAGGGCGGGGCTGTAGACAAGATGATGATCTGAAGCGTGTAAGGCACCATAGGCTCCTTTTTCAACGAGAAAGGTTCGGGTAGTTGAGCATACTTGCCTTGGTAGCAAACCTTGTAGATGTTCTCGAACATGCCGTCGGTGACACCGAGATGATGATACATCAGGCAATCTGCGAATTGTTCAATTTTGGTGCTGGAGCTATCAAGCTGACGAACGGGGAGGTCACCGATGCCTATGTCGCCGAGCTTGCGATCGCTTTTGATCGGTCGAGTTTCAGGTCCCTGAAGTTTCAAACCGGTCACATGCGCACACGCCTCGTCGAAAGTGAGATCTCCATCCTTGCCACCCTCCTGGTTCACAAAACTAGCCATGGCAAGATGTCTTGCTATTTTGCATTTTCAGCAGCCAAAACCCTGCAGGAACAACGCCGCAGCTTTGAGTAACATGTTTTGTGTTGAGAGAAATCCCAGAGCCCAAGATCAAAAAAACAAAAGCCCCAAAAAGGAAGCCAAAACCAAAACCCCCAAAACCAAAAAAAACCATAATTTCAGAACTCTTTCATTTGTGAATATCTCTATTTATATTCTGTAGGAGTACTGAAATAATGTTTTTTTGTTTTTTTGGTTTTGTTTTTTTTGGTCTTGGTTTGTTGGCATTGATCAAAACAGCCAAAACGCAGCGGACAGTTTTCGGCCTCAAACCCACCGGCATGTGCCTAGCAGATGTTTGCACAGCTGTTCGCGCTGGTTGAAGCATTCAAAAAGAAGTCACTCTGTGCACCTACGATGTGCCTGAGGAGGATCCAGAGCTCCTGTTGAAGCTCAAGGGCTTGATGAAGGCAGCGCTTGCCAGATCCAATGACTTGCTAGTGAACGATGCCCTGAGGCTCCTGAGCCGGCTTATGCGCAAGCGAGGCTTGATTATGGAGCCCAAAGCCTTCAAACGAATCTCACTAGAGATGCTTCAAAGCGCTTTGCTGATGCAGTGTCCTGACCTCGATCAGCTAGAGGCGGGTGTTGCTCTCGCGGACGTCAGCTTCTGACTTGTCCAGCCCGTCCGCCCTTCAAGTCCCGTTGAGGCCGAAGCTGTCAGTGCAGGGGCATTTTGGGCGCACAGCCTCTCGAATGAGCGGCAGAAGCACGAACTCTTTCAAAGAAACGAGCAACTCATGGCTCAGCTGGTGAACCACGACCTACCACTGTGGTTGGGGTGCCCTTGGGCCCGCGATGCCGATGCCTTCCGTCTTCGTGTGGCCCTAGACTGCTGGGATCGGAGTGGCTCTCGCGAAGACGCAGAAGGTGGGGTCACGATTAGATAATGGCATTAGCAAATATTGCCGAAAAGTTGCTTGAAGAACCTGTATCACCAGCCCAGCGGACCGTGCGGCAAGGCACCGGGCTGTACGGAGCAATCTGTATTGAGCTCGGTGAACCAGAACGGGCGAGATCGTATTTTGAACAGTTGGAAGCACGCGGAATCGATTTGCGGCTTGCATACCAGCCTGCTTTTCTCGAAGAACTTGCGGCTGTTAATCTTTGGAGTGGCAGCATGCAGCCGGCAGGCTCTGCAGGCCCGACCATGTCCAACCAAGCTTGCCTTCGTTCAGTCCCGGGCACACAAAGACAGACCAACGGCAGGTGATTGTCCAGATCTGGCTGGCCTGGTCCAGAAGGCTGCCAAGCTGGCCTGCATGGGTGTCTCCACTGGCATTTCTCGCAACTTGAGCGCAACATGCTGTAAAATATCATTGGGTAGAGAAGCGGGCAGACAGAGACACAGAGACACAGACACAGACAGACACACACACACACACACAGAGACTCTTGTGTCCAGAGGTAGGCTGCACGGGGCAGTGTTGTTCAGTGGCTGCCGCGACGGCTACGAAGTATTGGCAGAAGGGTTCAACCACCTTGCCGAACCCCTGCAAGCGCGGATCCTTAGCACAAAACCTTCATGTTGCGGGTTTTAGTAGCTCAAGAACTGGAATCGTCAAAGGAGAGCCGGGTCGCCGCACAAACTTCGAGCTGTCCAGCGTCATGCGGAGGTTGCCCAGAAGTTCTGCACTTCCAATGGCTGCCGGTCCGTTTGAGGGCACAATGCAAACCTGGCAGTCCGTCCTCATCTAAGCCGGACGGTGTAAGGCAAAGAACATCGCAATGGAACACTTTTCTGTCGGGGGCCTTTGTGCATGAAAGCAACAAAGCTTGCAGGTGCACTGTCTCCTGCAGTTACCTCGGCTGGCAGACGCGAAGGGCAAGCAGATGTTGATCGTGGAGATTGCAGACGTAGGACACAGGGAAGCGCCCCGCGTGAACATGGCCTCGCAGTTGCGTTTCAACCGCAGGGGTACACATGTTCCAATTCTGCAGCAGCACGAGCCACTACTTGCTACATCCGTATACTGTCAGTGAAATCACTCGGCCAGTGTCGACGGAGTGCGCAGCCACCCCACATGCAACGCAGCTTTGTTAAACAACACCGTTAGTCATTGACCAGTCTTCGGTTCGGAATGTCCATGCAAATTATTGCTATTTAGTTCGAGAAAGGAAGCTTAGGAGTTGAAGCTCTGTGTTTCAACAGCTCTTCGCAAATGTCGATGGCCTTCATTTCAATAGATGTGCACGGGTCATTGGAAGGGCAGCAGTCCGGCGACTTTTTCTAGGAGTACTAGAGTTACTAGGGATAAGCAGGTAGCGGGGCAGAGTGCAGCGTGGTAAGACGCTCACGACCGGATGCATGAAAGTCAGCGCGATCTCGCCACAGAAGGCTTCATTGTTAGTGGATGAATGTGACTCTTTGACTCCTCCACTGATCGCCACTGTGTCGTTCACGAGAGGCATAGAGGCGTCAAGTCAGAACCGGGATGTGCTCATGACTGCGCTTTGGCTCAGAGCTCCAGCGAGCGACAATTTCATGGCCTGCGCCCCGCTATCAGTGCGCCTGAGTGGCTGCAAGTATCTTAGCAGCGCTCCTGCAACATCGACGCGCCAGTCCTGCCCCACGCACTTTCAACGCTCCAGCTTCTGCTGTGCTGCTATCATAGCTACCCACTGTGCGCTCCACCAGCCGCACAATCGGAGAAAAGCAAAGAAAACATTACTCACAGGCATGGGAGCAGTATTTGGGAGAAGCGATGTGGAGGAGATACAGACATACTTCCGTGGGAAGATCATTTGGGTCACTGGTGCCTCCGGTGGTTTCGGAGAAGCACTCTGTGTTGCATTGTGCCAGAGCTCGCAGCCGGAGGCTTTACTCATCAGTGCCAGGCGAAACGAGGAGTTGCAGAGAGTTAGGTCCAAGTGCATAGAGCTCTCACCGAGCGTGAAGGTTGGAGTAGTGCCCATGGACTTGGAAGATACTTCCTCCTTGCCTGGAGTGGCCAAGACAGCAAAGGCTCTCTTTGGCCGGGTGGATATCCTTGTGAACAACGGAGGAGTGGGTTTCCGTGGTTTAGGTCAAGAAACATCTATCGACGTCGACCAGCGTGTCATGAACATCGATTTCTTCGGAGGTGTTGCCCTTGTCAAGGCTCTTCTACCAGACTGGCTAGACAGGCAGACAGGTCACGTGGTGCAAGTGTCTTCCGTCCAAGGCTTCTTTGGGCTTCCTGGCAGAACTGCATATGCAGCTGCAAAGCACGCGGCCGTCGGCTTCTATGATTCTTTACGTGCTGAAGTTGCAGAGAACGGCGTTTCCGTAACGACAGTATGCCCGGGGTATATAGCGACTGGCCATAGTCAGAATGCATTGCGAGGCGAGGGCGTCAAATACCCGGAGGGTCATACCAGCAAAGGTGTTCGTCCCGAGCTTCTGGCACCGAAGGTTCTTGCAGCTGTCGCCCGCAGAAAACCTGAGCTGGTCCCTGCAGCCCTAGATGCTAGACTGGCCCGCGTTTTGCGGACTTGTTGTCCCAGTTTGTTATTCTGGATTATGAAGAGGCGTGCCCGCAAGGAAGCGCGCGAGCGCAGTGCTGCCACCGAGCCAGACAATGCAGCCATCGAGAGTAAGAAATTGTCTTGAGACAAAATTGACACGTGTTGGAGGTGCGACATCCGAAAAAGTGGATCACCAGGGCAGCCGTGAGCAGAAGGCACTCGTAACACATCCACCTTCCGTTTGGCTCAGCAGGACCTGGCTTGGGCTGGGCCGAGCCTTGCTCTCGCGGCTGTGTCCAACTGCTCACCAAGCGACTCGCGTGCAGAGATGCAAGAGTCATGTCCAACGCCCAGGCAGAGACATGTCAAGCCCTGTTTGGTTGCCTTGTTAAAGGTACGGTCTCTCCCCTATCTTTTTCACCGATGGGAACGGTTCACTTGTAGAGCGTCGCCTGCAGCACGACCCGGACTTGGACGTTCCGTGCCTTCGGCCTTCGCAAGATCGGGTGGTTGCTCCAAGCATGTCGTCATTAGCCGGCACAATGCAACAACCTTGATCACCGAGGTATAAAACCTATGCGAGACGTCTCAGTGATGACCGTATCTCGGAGAGGGCATGGATCGATGTTTCACGCAAGATAGAGCTAGAAAGGGGTAGAGGGGACAGAAGTGTGTTCCGTGCTTAATGGCTTAGTACTGCTAAATGTGGTTCTGGCGACTTGGTTTCTTGCTGCTGACAATGCTGTTTATGTGCATTGTGCAATACTGGTTGACAAAGTCTTCTGGAGTGGTTAAAGTTCGCTGATGTTCCTGATTTCCATTCAGCTTTGGATTACGGCTCGACAATAGCCGATCCGCATTTCCCACTTTTTATTCAATATTTTATATCAAATAATTATGCTATTGAAAGCACCCTCCGTGTCTGTGTTGGGGATTCTTCCTTGCTGATTTGTGGTCGAGGACGTCGGAGGCGGCACTGAGGCATGAGGTGCGGAGGATCTTCGCATTGTAAGCCGACGAGCACTTCGACCATTAGTAGGATAAGACTAAAAAAGGAGTGATAGTGCCAGGCAGCCTAGGGGCGGCGAGAGTGCGTCGGAGTACGAAGGTTATTCTCGAAGAGGCGTCACGTTGGGCTCTGTCAGCCCGTCGTCCACGTAGATCGTGATAGCCCTGGGTCGCGGGAATAGGGTCTATTCTGGGTGCGAGTGGTTGGTGACACTTATGGCAGCCTAGGGGTGGCGGGAGCAGGGCCTGATCTGGACATATCATGTTTTAACGGGCGGACAATGGCGTGGAAGGTAAAGATTTTTATGATAGGTCTCGCAGAAATCCAGTATACGGCCAATTACTTTCGTTTTCGTCGTTCGTACTATTTTCTGTCATTGGGAAGCAGATTATTGGGGATGATTCGATAGGCCTTGCGCCGGAGAAATAGCTCGTTTATGAGTATAGAATCGTATTTCGGCCATAATATGAAAATACATGTAAGAGGTTGGTCGTACATATTATACGATAATAATAATGGGTTATATTTAATTATACTTCTATATAAGAAAAGATATCCCCTGCCATGAGGGAAAAGCTATACGACAAGTCTATGCTTTGAGCATGTTTGGGAGCCGGAAAGTCGCTACGCGCTTAGTTATATCCGCGTCTCTCTCTCTCTCTCTCACTGTTTTTGTTTTTCTGACTGTCTGAGTCTCTGCCTGGGGGTGTGGGTCTCTCTGGACGTGTCTGTGTGCGTGCCTGCTTGCGAGCCTGTTTGGGTATGGATGTGTGCTTCTCTCTGTCTTTGTGTTTGTGTGTTTGTATTGTTGTTCGTAGGTAAGTGTGATTGTCTGTGTGATTACTTGTGGGTGTGGGGGCGTCTTTGCGCGTCTTTGTGGATCTCTTTATATCTATTTATATGCTACTCCCCCCCCCCTCATGTACCTACCTTTTTCTGTTCTTTAAATGTATTTTTCCGTGTCAACCCCTGGCGAGGGCTTTAAAACACGTCAATACAGGACATGAAGAAATGTAGAAGTGTGGAGCTAGCTAGGAATGCATTTGTGGTGTTCCTTGGGGGAGTCGGTTGGACGTTGCAAACATCCCAAGTATCGGTCACGCACCAGCCCTGTTCATGTTTGATCGTATTAGTTGCTAATGCTACTACTACTACTACCACTACTAGTAGCTATCCCGATTAGCTAGTATGATTGATTATTTACTAGTATAGGCTA